CTACCATCTGGAGAGAGCCACTGCTAACATTTTGGTATAGGCCCTTCCTTTGCATATATACTCACAAACATATACATACATGCTTCATTTTAATAAAGTTTTATGTTATCCAAATATGAAATAGTCTATCTCACATGATAAACATGTTATGAATGTTTCCCAAATCAACATGTTTAAATGGCTACAAAGTATTTTCTTAGCCCTTATTTTGAACATCTGCATTATTTTTGTTTGCCATTCTATATCCTTGTTACATCCATCTTAGCACTTCTGTCTGCTTCTTTCTTTAGGGATGGATCTAGGAATGGAGCTGTTAGAATAACACGTGTGCATTCTTATAGGCTTCTCCCTTCTGACAGGCTTTACTGTTCCCACTCCCAACAGCAAAGAGGATGTACCTGTTTCCTTATATTCAGGATAGCATAAGCTTTTATATTGATTTGTCTTTTCCTTTTTCTTGGGTGTTTAAGGAACTTTAAGAACTAAGACTCAGCCAGGCCCGCCTGCTTTGCAGTCCCTAGTTGAGACCTTGGTATTTCCTTTTTTTCTGGGCAGAGTGGTACCCTGAAGACAGCCCTCCTTGACTACATCAAACGCTGCCGCCCCGGGGACAGTGAGAAACACAACATGATTGCTCTGTGCTTCAGCATGTGCAGGGAGATCGGGGAGAACCATGAGGCAGCTGCCTGCATCCAGCTGAAACTGATTGAGTCTCAGCCCTGGGGTGAGCAGAGGTCATAGTAGCACCCTCAGGGATGGTTCTTAGGGCTTAAAAAGGCAGCTCCTTATATTGACTAAAACCCACCCCAGCTTCTAGCAGCTTCTCAATGGGGCCCCAGCTGGGCAGGTTGATGTAAGGGGACTTGGAAGGCATTTGTCTCTTGTGGCCTGTATGTCATCATCTGTCAGGAACCAATGTGTATGCTGATGCCATGGAAGCCTGCCTTGATGTTTCAGAAAGAAATGAACTAGATGGGGCACTGAATTCTAGACTGTGTACTTCTGGCCCAATACCCTTTAACTGAGTGAGACATATCTGCTCCCTGCGAACATGAGTTGGGATATTCCTAGTTCAGGCCGTCATCACTGATGTGGTGGAGTCGTCAACTTTGGGAGTCAGGCACTCATTTCTTTTACTTCTCTGCAGAGGACAACATCAAGGATGGGCACCACCTGAAGCAGCTGCTGCTGAAGGCCCTGACTCTGATGCTGGATGCCGCTGAGAGTTATGCAAAGGTAACCACGGAGTCTTAGTTCAGGCTGTTGTGGAGCTTGGTCCCTGGGCTCTCCCAAGTGAAGGGGGGAGGGAGTCATGGGGCAGTTGGTGGCAGAAGGCTGGGGGGTGAAGGTGGGGGTGGGAGGGAGGAGCGGGGGAGGGCTTAGTTGCTGGAGGCTTCATAGGGAGATGATGGCAAAAGTTCATTTGGCCTCCCTCCACCCTGCCCCTCAGGATTCCTGCGTGCGACAGGCCCTGCACTGTCACAGGCTCACCAAGTTGCTAACACTGCAGATTCACTTTCTGAACACTGGCCAAAACACAATGCTTATCAACCTAGGTCGCCACAGGCTGATGGACTGCATCATGTCCCTACCTCGGTTCTACCAGGTAAGCACGGAAGAAAAATCTAGCCAGCATCCTCTCCTGCATGTTTCTAATGCGGCCGAGACTGACTTGTCTCAGGGCTCAGGGCTAGTGTCAGAACCAGGACAGTTCAGCTCTCCTGGCTTAGCTTCTGACATACAAATTGCCTTTCTATAGCAGTATTTCTTGCTAGCATGTTTGGGCAAAGGTTGGAGAATGGTGAGACACACTGTTAGGCCAGCAGGGAGGCAGACACTTTCGATCCTTAGACAGTTGAGGTTCAGAGGAACACCCCACCCCTGCTAGAGGTTCAGAAAGCACCTCCCAGGCGCAGTGTTTTACAGATGGCGCACCGGAGTGCTTAGCACAGGGAGCCAGGGCTTCTGGGGGCCTGGTTACAGTCCTTTAATGAGGAGAGACGGTTTCAGGAAATTGGCCCTTTCGCTGTTCCTTATAAAGTTGAGTATGAAAAAAGATACCCGCCCCCCCAAGCACTTTTATCAATCCACTGAAACAAAGACGGTGTTTTGGGGCTTTAGGGGAAGCAAAATGTCAAACTGACACCAATTCTGATAGACGGGGCCTTTCAGTATGATTGGTACTGATCAGTCAATGTATGAGTGTGCAGCATTAAGTTTGCTAAAACAATCTGCCTTCAATCTCACGTTCGATAGGCTCTAATGGTGTTCTTCCTCCATCCTTTTAAGGCTTCTATTGTGGCTGAGGCCTATGACTTTGTTCCTGATTGGGCTGAAATTCTATACCAACATGTGATTCTTAAAGGAGACTTTCATTACCTGGAAGAATTTAAGCAGCAAAGGTTATTAAAAACCAGTATATTTGAAGAGATTTCAAAAAAGTAAGTATTAAAATGTCTCTGCTTTGGATAAGGCATAGGAAAGAATTTTATGGCTAAGTATAACATGCCACCCCTGTGCTTGAGATGCAAAGAAATGTCAAGAATCCCCAGAAAGATCTTTTTGTATGCAAAAAATGAGTAAAAACACTTTGGTAGGACAGCTATTCAGCCAGCCTGAGGTGCCAAAGATTCTAAACATCAAAGGTCCCCTTTGGAATATTAATTTATTCTAATTAAGGTAAGCATTAAGGCACTAATTTTTAATTAAATAATTTCCATATTCATCAGACGCCCCTAATGCTAGTTAAGTCTTACCTAACTTTCCAGAATCTATCTAGATTGCACCTTCTCCACTATAGTAATTGTGTCAGAGATGACAGCCCTTGCTCAAGATACATACAGCACCTTAACCTGTACATTCCTGTGTCTTTGTCTAGATATAAACAACACCAGCCTACTGATACGGCTGTGAAAAACCTGAAGAAGTTTCTCACATATTGTGAAGATATCTACTTGTATTACAAGCTGGCATATGAACACAAACTTTATGATGTTGTGAATATGCTTCTGAAGGACCCTCAGACAGGCTGCTGTCTAAAGGACATGCTAGCAGGTTAGATGGATTCTGATACAGGTGCCTGTTTTCTTACACTAAAATGAGGTACTGTCAGATGTTTGTGATTACAGTATAATGCATTGGGAGCTTTGTTGTCTAAATTATAAAACCCAGAACTGATCATGCCAGTCCTTTGTGGGTCAAGAATGAGTTTTTACAAGGAAATTCCAATTTTATAAAAGTGATGTTCCTCTGTATCATTTTATATAGATATGGTTATTAAGTTCAAAATTCCCATCTTCCTCAAGATGGCTTTTACTTTAGGACATGATAGAATATTGATTAAAGAATACCTTTGCCTGCAGATTCCAGTTTCAAAGGAATTTAATATTATTTACACAGTTAAGGAACAGATGATACATTTCCATTAGTTAGAAACTGATCTCTATAATAAAATAGATTTTAAATTCAGTGCATGTCATCATTAACTGCTAAGGAAATCTTAGCCCTTGTCTGCCTTAAAACAATTTTTATTGGCTGTAATTATTGCTTTGTAGTCACTGTTTTTTGTTAATTTCTCAAATTATTTGGATGGTCTGTCTTCTATTTAGTGTTCTACAGAATTTTGAGACCACCCCCCCTTGTATGTAAAAGAAATTAAAAACATTTTTGTTCTGTCCCTACCTACTTTTGAGTCTGGTTTTAAAAATTTGGTTAAATTGCTTAAAAATATCTAAGTAATAAAGATCACTCAATCTGTGCTCACAGCCATACCTGAGTTATAAGCTCAATTACTCCAAATAAATAGTTATAGATATCTTAATTAGGCCTTAGTAATTAAACAACCAAATAATTTTTCCCAAAATAAATAAAATGAGGAGAGCAGCCCTATACCTTTGTTGCTCTAGGATGACCCTATTAAGGGCCTGGCAAATCATTTTTGTTTTAAAGCTATTAACTACTCATCAAGCATTTATTAAGCTTTGTTAAGTGTATAGAGAACTCTAGTCCCAAGAGCTGTGCTCTATACTCTCCAAAAATATCTCTTGGGAGATAACACCAAATTTAAGTCCTCACAATAGTGATTTTATTAAATTAGTTGCTTTATAAAACATTGCAGATGTCATAATTGTTAACATAACAATTTACCAAACTAGTTAACTGGTGCAACTTGCTGAGCATGTTTTATAAAGGAAAGGAAATGCCAAAACCCTGTTTAAAGTTATTCCACTGCAGCCCGGAAGAACAAAGGAGATTTGTTCCTCAGACACTTCAATCAGGCAAATGAAGCAGGTAGGGTTTCCCTCCCCCATCCGAAGCACTTCATCAGTAGAGCAGTCTGATACACTAGACAGAATGCACTCAAGAGATTCCACAGCTTGTAATACAGTAATGGAGTTTACCTTCTTCAGCTCCAAAGTGGAGGGTTTTGGTCATTTAACTTTTAAGTATCAAACTAGTGCTTTTCAGCCGCCGTACCTTCACTCTGACATAAGCAGTCTTCTTCACAATGTATGCTTAATAGCCTCACGCTCAATTTTAAGACAAAGCAATTTTAATACTAGGTGCACACCACATGCCCTTGCTGCGAACTGCTTTTCTTGACAAGTTATGAAGTAGTTCAAGGAGGTATGGTTAAGGCTGTATTACTGAATGGTGCTGGTCAATACTACACAATTTCTTGTCATATTGCAACCTTTGTTTCCAATTTAGTGACTGCTGCTATAGAATCAGATAGCAACAATGACAACATCATTATTAAGTTTGTGTTTTAAAACTATGATTTAGTAGCAACTGAGGTTTCCAATTTTAACCCCTTGGCAGCAAGATCCAAGTTCCCTCATTTGCACATTAGCACCTAAGTGTCAAGGGGTTAAGTAACCAGCACAAAAGATACTGCACTTCTGATTGTAGCATTTGGCAGAACTGAAAGGAAAGGAAGTTGTGCTACATGTTGAAGGGATCGTGGGCAACAGAAAGAAGACACCAGAGAAGATAAAATGTCACATGAAATCTTCAAAGTCTTGCACATATCCTCCATCATAGCCGCCATAGTCGGCCAGATCGTCTTTCATGGTGGCCTTCAATCCCCCTCCAGGGGCCACACCTTTCTTCTTCTTTTTGGCTCTGCTTTGCTAAAGATAAAAGAGAGTCAGTTCATGAGACTCGATCTTCCAAGTGCATCTTATCTGGCGCAGCAAACCGCAGAGAGACACCAAAGCCTCTGCTCACAGAAAAGCTTCAGTTCTCTAAGGGAGATTCCCAGACAACCCGGGGCAATTTCTACTATTAATACAGAAACCAAGACTGTGAACATGTTTGTTTGAAGAAGAAGAAAAAAGAGTAAAAGACACTAACATTCGTACTGTTCTATTCCAATTTAAACGGTATGGGTAAACTGCTGGATATTTAGGTTTCCCATATTTAGGTTAAGAATGTTATGCCTGCATCACCATCCTAATGAAATACACATTGCCCACGCAGCTTACTCTTACCTTTTCTTGCTTCTGTTTTTCACTACAAAGCACGGTCAGTGAATTGGTGATCTTTTTCAAGTCATCAATTTCCACTATATAAAAAAAAATATGCCACTCAATTTTAATCATTTTGGGAAACAAGTAAAGGCAAAATATACATTCTTCCCTATGTGCCATGAGAAATCCAATTTCTCTATCAACAGCTTCAGTAACTTTGAAAAGGTTGTAATTCTCCTGTTTGACATATGGTCAGGCATACAAATCAGATCTATTAAAAAGTAGAAGCCCAGGGCACAAATTTGTGCACAAATGAGGTCCCTTGGCCTGGCCTGTGGGATTGAGCTAAACCTGGCTGACATCCCCCATGGTTCCCAGATTGCAAGAGGGCGCAGGCCAGGCCGAGGGACTCCACTGGTGTAGGACTGAGGCTGAGGGAAGAGAAATTCAGGAGGGCGTGTCCAGCCCGTCTCCCTCAGTCCCAAAAGGCTGGAACCAAGAAGCAAGCTAATCTATCAGTTGGGAAGTCTACCCCCTGGTGGTCAGTGCATGTCACAGTGACTGGTCAGTGGGTCGATTGTCCCCTGATGGTCAGTGCACATCACAGCAGGCAGTTGAGGGGCCTTAGCATATCATTAGCATATTATGCTTTGATTGTCAACCGGACGCTCAGCTTATTAAGCTTTTATTATATGAGATAAAATGGCAAACTCAGCAACAAAAAATTTATCTTTATAAATGACCTGTTATCACTAAAACACCAATGCTAACCAAAGAGAAACTAAGTGTCTTTACAGCTCAGTGTTCCCTACTATTCTCTCTTCCCCACCAAACATACAGATACCCATGCCCTTCCAGAATATCTCTGATGCTTAATGAGGAGCAGCTGAATGAACATGGAATAACAATTCTTAAATCTATAGGTGACAACTCCCTAACCCCTGGAATCTCCATTTTCTTGCACAGGAACTAGAATGAAAGTACTAGCTATCTCAGAAATCTGTGTACTATTAGGAGACAAGGCTCTTTTAGTGAACAACAATATACTCTATCTTTATAAAAATACTAGAGGCCCAGTGCACAAAATTCTGCACCCTCTCCAATCCAGGACCCCTCAGGGGATGTCTGACTGCGGTTTGGGATAGGGCTTAAAACCGGCAGTCGGACATCCTTCTCACAATCCTTGACTGGCTCCTTGCCTGCCTGTCTTGTTGCCCCTAACATTCCCCCCCACCCCCGCTGGCCTGATCGCCCCTAACTGCTGGCCAGGGTGCCCAACTGCCTCCTCCCTACCAGCCTGGTCACTCTTAACTGCCCCCCTCCCGCCATCTTGTGAGGGAGTGAGGGTTAATTTGCATATTACCTTTTTCTTTTATAGGATTATGCTGAAAATAATTTTTAGCTACCAAAAAAAGTATATGGTTTCAGTAAGCAGGCTCCTTCAAAAACAGGAAAAATAATATATGCAGAAAAGACCAACTCTGGGGATATAACTCATCAAATAACCCCCAACTTAGTAATAATTTCTCAAAACCCAATTTAAAATCCATTATGTAAAATTCCTTTTCCCCAATCTTAAAAAACAATATACTAGCAAAACCAGTCCCTTACGTTTTGGTGCACACCCCTGGTTGTCACTCCCACACCCAGCCCCTGAAATGTGTGACTGATCCTCTCGGAACAGCACCACACCCATGGGCCCAGAGAACAGATGCCAGCTCTGTTGAGCAACTTGCACCTGACTTCTTCATTTATAAAATGAACACACAGTTGCTGTCATCTAGGGCTCTAAAATCTTATATGCCCAGAGAGCATTTCCCCCAAAAGACACATCCTAATCCCTTTCAAGATATAATTAGATAAAACAATAAGCTAGCGTTGTATTAGCTGCTATGGCAACAAATCTCAGATGTTTCCTTAGGAAACCATTGTAAAAACATTAAGAAGGCAGCCTCAAAAAGGAACAAAATCATTCAAACTAATTGCATGTTTGCAGAACACCATTCTCACAGTAACTACTAAAAATTAAATACTAAGTCTGTATATTTTAGCATTCCTACTCCCACCCCCCCCAAAAAAAGTCAACCTCCATCTTGAATTTTCCCTTACTAAAATCCACCCACAGAGGCCAGAGATTAGAATTACTTACATGAAATACACACATCTCGAACTAAGGCTTCTAAAAAACTGGCATAATATAATGACTTTTCATATTGTGTAATTTTATCTTTTAGTAGCTTTCCAAATTCTGTGAAATCATCTCTTGAAGATGGGTTCATAGCATCTATTCCAAAAACTGTATTAGTTACACCTGTAATAGAAAAGGAATACTGCAAATATCAAAGATTTTTTTAAAGTTTATAAACCAGTTAGATATCTGAATAACCTGCTACTTCATTCTAAAGCAGAATTCTTAACCGTGGGCCTTGAACAGAATTCAAGGGACCTGTGAATTTGGATGAGAAAAAAAATTATAGCCCTTATTTTTACTAATCTATAGTTTCTATTTTGATTAAAGACAACAAATCACAGAAGCAAAACCTAACTGCTACCAACAGAGATCAGATATTTTCCTTTTACATTATAGTTGCCTCAGATATCTTGAAACATTATTCACAGTTGTCATTACTTTAAAAATCACATTACTTATTAGATGGGCCCTAGGTCTTACTCAATTCATTAATAAAGAAGCATGTAATTATTGTATTAAATTATTTTAATATTTTGATAGCTATTTCAGTATAAAGGATTTTTTTTTTGTTTCGTTTTATGCATTTAAAAATATCAGATTAAAAAGGGGCCCACAGGCTTTGGCAGACTGCCATGCCAGAGTCCCTAGCACAAAAGGATGCTCTGAAAGCATCTGTCCAAGAACAGCCCAGGGTAAAGTGGGGAGAGAAGGAAAAAAGCAAAGAAAACAATGGTTTCTGTGAAAGAACCCATCTAACTAACTCTAGAAATTAAGAAGGAGCAAGCCACATGTTAAATCCCAATAGAAAAATTAATGTCGGTACACTTTTGTGTCCTCAGTAGTCTAAAGTAAATTAGTTGTTAACAACGCCACTGATTCAGTATTTTAATATGAGAAACACAACGCGGAAATCCTATTAACCCAATGATGACTGTATGTATACATGTCTTTGTCTTTTGATCTATAATTGGTGTCCTATATGAGGACTTATGGGTTCCACATAACCCTTCTTTTTAATAAGCACCTGGGCAGCTTTTACCATCCTGAAGACACAGAGAATGGCCGCGTGCCCTCTGTGATGAGATTAAGACATTGCAAGCACATTCCACCGGACAGGAGCATCAGCAGCAACTCTTGAGATGACTAGTGGCCCAGTGAAAGACAGGGTCACACTTGCCATAAAAAGGAAATGCTTACTACAGTCAGCCTGCTTGATTATCTTAAAGGAAAGGAATAAGGGAAAAACCAGATCTTTTTTGGCTCTAGGTTTCTTTTTCGAATTATTTAACTGTTTCAATATGATCTACTCTGCAAAGTACTCAATAGCTGATGACAATAAACTTGGTTAAATGAGAGCTTTTACCTTCTCTGGCCATGTTCCTTTCTTTTACCCTCCGTGCCATGTGACCCACCCCCACCTCACCCCCCCCCACCCCCCGCCCACACACACACTCTGAACTTATCTATTTACAGGACCTTGAACATGTCTTTTATCTCATGCACTAACCACAGCTGCAGGTATGGCACACAGGATGGAAGCCGTCTAGAGATAAGGCATGGTGAGGGCCAAGAAGGGTGGCAGAAGGAAATTACTCTGAACCTAATAAGGCACAGCCAAAGTGGAATCCACCCTCTCACCACCTCCTCTCCCTCCCAGCACTAGCATGCAATACTAAGTCTTATCCAGACTTAAGATAACAGGACAGTCCTACAGGTAGTTTGGTATTTAAATCTCAAAGCTACAGATCTCACATACCATCCAAATTTCATACAGTTGATGAATAATACATTTTATTTTTTTAAATATATTTTATTGATTTTTTACAGAGAGGAAGAGAGAGGGATAGAGAGTTAAAAACATCAATGAGAGAGAATCATCGATCAGCTGCCTTCTGCACATCCCCCACAGGGGATGTGCCCACAACCAAGGTACATGTCCTTGACCGGAATTGAACCTGGGACTTTTCAGTCCGCAGGCCGACGCTCTATCCACTGAGCCAAACCGGTTTTGGCAATGAATAAATTTTAAAAAATGGTAGATTTTATTTGGGTCCAATGACTTTTTATCATAATATTTTATTTGACCTGACTGGTCTTGCTCAGTGGTTAAACATCAACCCATGAACCAAGAGGTTGTCAGTTCGATTCCCGGTCAGGGCACATGCCTGGGTTGTGGGCTTGATCCCTAGTGGGGGGCATGCAGGAAGCAGCAGATCAATGTTTCTCTCTCACTGATGTTTTTTTTAATCTCTTTTCCCCTTCCTCTCTCTAAAAAAAATCAAAAACATTTTAGGAAAAAAAAATATTTTTAAAAATATATTTTATTGATTTTTTTTTTTTACAGAGAGGAAGAGAGAGGGATAGAGACCTAGAAACACCGATGAGAGAGAAACACCAACCAGCTGCCTCCTACACACCGCCTAAAGGGGATGTGCCCGCAACCAATGTACATGCCCTTGATTGGAATCGAACCTGAGACCTTTCAGTCCGCAGACCGACGCTCTATCCACTGAGCCAAAATGGTTTCGGCATAGAAAAATATATTTTGATACTCAAAACATAATTATTCAAAAATCTAAATATGCATCTCACTCTACCATAATTAATTTGAAACCTCAAATAGAGAATAAAAACTGCTAATATCTATATTAGCCAGTAATACGTTTCTTCAAAAAAGTTGTTTTCTAAACTTTAATATCTACTAAGATTTTCACAGTAATTACTTGGAACCTCAGTATCTCCAACTTACCAAAAGTTTCTTTTGCTAATTCAAGGTCTGCTTCTTCCTGTAATTTCTTTAGCCGTAGTTTATCTGCTAATTGTTCTTCTGGTGTTAGTACTTTTGTTTCTTCAGGTTCTTCTAACTAAAATGATACAGAAATGAAGTTTTAAAAGGGTGGAATCATGATAGTTGGCCCCAGCACACCTATTTTCTATGAATTTTTTATAAGCACATGTAATCATAAATAATAGCAAACACTTAAAAGTATCTATATATCGTATTTTGGCATTCTCCTAAACATTTTAGATATTCTTATCCTAATATTGAAGGAAAAAACCTGAGGCACAGAAAGGTTAAGCAGTTTGTGCACGGTAACAGGCTAACACAGCCTGTAATGGGGAAGAGCGGAGAACCGAATCCAGGAAAACTGAGTTTATTTCTACAGCCTTACACACATTCATGTCACCATGACTAATGGACACAGGCACTAGGTGGTAGGGGCTTGTCCTGGGGGGCGGAGTGGCCGTGGGGAGTGGAGGGCAGGGAGGGAGAGGGGAGTTCAATCAGGGAAAAAGGAGACATATATAATAATTTAAACAATAAAAAAAAAATTTAGGAAAAAAAGCTTATGTTAGAGACTAATATCAAGATAGAACAAAATACAAAATAAGTATAATTCTGCCGAAATGGGTTTGGCTCAGTGGACAGAGTGTGTCAGCCTGCTGACTGAAGGGTCCCGGGTTCAATTCCGGTCAAGGGCATGTACATTGGTTACAGGCACACCCCCAGGGGGAGATGTGCAGGAGGCAGCTGATCGATGTTTCTCTCTCATCGATGTTTCTAGCTCTCTATCCCTTTCCCTTCATCTTTGTAAAAAATCAATAAAATATTTTTTAAAAATAAGTATAATTCTAACTTCAATGACCAAGAAAGATCCAATCAATAGAACTTTTGACTTCTGAATACATTTCATGGTTAAAAAATAAAGTTAAGCCTGGCCAGTGTGGCACAGTGGTTGAGGGTCAACCTATGAACCAGGAGGTCACAGTTCCATTCCTGGTCAGGGCACATGCCAGAGTGGGCTCAATCCCCAGTGCGGGCATGCAGAAGTCAGCCCATCAATGATCCTCATCATTGATGTTTCTATTTATCTCTTTGTCTCCCTTTGTCTCTGAAATCAATGAAACTATATTTAAAAAAATAAAAAATAAAGTGAAGCAGTAGCCAGCTCAGTTGGTTGGAGAGTCGTCCCATATAGCAAAAGGTATGGGTTTGATTCTGGGTGAGTATATATATATATAATAAAAATCTTAAACCTGAAACAAAAAAAGTGTACCAAACTAGACATAATGCCTCTGGGAAGAGAATTCAAATGACTTTAGAACCCAAGACATAATTATACATCCTTAGCAGGACATATTCAAAACTCAAAATGAATTGCAAGGAAATCCTAAAATTCATTCAGTAGCTCCATCTTGTTAGTAATATTGGTATTGAAAAAAAAAATGTCGGAATAAGAAAAAGTATCAAATGAACTAATGATTACACACACACACCCCTTACATTCCTAGCTTATTAATCCATGAAAAGGGGTGTAGGTTATCACAATAACACTAAGTACTACAAGCACCTAGATTTGGCCTCTAAATATTATTTTCTTTAAAAAAAAAAAAAAAGGAATAACTCCAGGATTAAAGAAGAATGTTTATCAGGTAAGGCTGGCACTTCTTATTGTATCAGAAAACACGAAAGCTTTCAAAGACTAATAAGGTCCCTGTGAAAAGGATAAAGATAGAAACTACTTAATGGAACTGCTGGCCAAAGCTGGGATAGTTTGAGCATCAAAACAACTACTGTATCTTAGTGAAGCACAAAGAACTTATAAAAATCTCCAAGTCCATAAATTTACTCAAAATAAAAAAATAAAATCCACAAAATCCCTCATTTTCACCACATGAAGTTGTTATATCCCTTTTTACTCTGAAAATTGATAATTAAAAAAAAAAAAAATTACTGTGCCTTTCTAGTAAAACCATATCCAAAGGAACCAAGTAGCAAAAGAAGAAAAAAAAAAAGCCAGCCAATAAAAAAAAGGGAACAGAAGTCACAGAATGAGGAAAATCACTATTCTGCACTATCTAATGAAATAGACATTGATCATCAGCGATACAAAACTACTGGGTGAGAAGCTAATGTGAAATGGGATTATTTGCCAGAAGAAATACACTGGTTAGATTATGATCTCTGAACGCATAATAATCTGGCCACTCAGTGTATATCCTATATAATAAAAGGCTAATATGCAAATTGTCCCCTTGACCAGGAGTTTGACCAGTAGGCAGGTCAACCAACCGCCCATGTCTCCCCTCTCCCTGGCCAGACCCCACCTATGCACAAATTCATACACCAGGAGATACACACACACACACACACACACACACACACACACACACACACACACACACAGTGTAATTTTATTATGATAATCTGGCCATTCAGTGTATGTTATTTTATGAGAAGGATCAGGCTGTCTCAACTTTAACTCAGTGATCAATTTTAGCATCACTAATAACAGGAGACATTACATGACTATTGATGTGATGTGAAGCAATATGAAGAACACAGCATTACCTCTAAAGCAGCGGTCACCAACCTTTCAGGTCTCATGGGCCACAGTGGGTGACTGCTGCTCTGAAGTATTCCTCTTTGGGACAATTATAAAATGAATAATGTTTGCTATTTATTTTAGCAAAAAATAGATGAAGCAAATATGGCAAAATATTAACAACTGTGATCTGTATGATTATTCATTATGCTATTTACTTTCGCACTTGAAATTTTTAATAAAAAATCAAGGGGGAAAAACTACGATCTGATATGAAAAGATCTCCAGGCTATACCAAATAAAGCAAGGTGGAAACTATAAAAAAGAAATAAGATTATACAGTTGTATCCAAATATATAAAGACACCTTGGAAACATAAGAAACCAATATTTATTTATAAGATACAGGGAGAGAAACAGGATAAATGAGTGAAAGATTGGGAGTGCTTCTTATATTGATTTTCGAATCATTTAAATGTGTTTTATATTAAAAAAAAAAAAACCTACAAATTAATACAAGATTCCTGATCTTGCTCCAAATATTCAACAACAAAAACACATAGTACCTGTCCGTTTCTCTAAACAGACACTTTTTATATGACTATGGTCATTACACAATCATACTGTTCCCCAATGTTTGTGAAAACTTGAAAGGCATTCTAATACATAAGTTTCTGGGTTTGGTTTTTGTAAAAACCACAAATTCAGTTTTGGGATTAACTTACTGATGGTGTCCATTTAATGCCTTTACAAAGCCCCTCAAATTGCAAGGTAATATTTGTTGTCTGTTAAGACACTGTTCTACTACTGATGTGAGAGTTCTATATTTTAGAAAATCAATAGTACTTGCCCTCTTTTTAATTTCTTCTTGCCTTTTCTTCTGCTGCCGTTCTTTCTCTTTTATCTTCTCTGTTATTTTTTTCTTTTCTGAAATTTTTACTTCTAAAAGTAAAGAAATGTTTAAATCAAATTATTTTTTAAAAATATTTTCCGGTTTATGGATGAGACAGACATGAATGATACTTCTATACTTCAAGAGGCCAACCCTCTCTCAGCTCCAATTTCATATGGTGACTTCTTTGCAAATAAAAATGGGAAAGTCCTGGAACTCTTCTTTTCCTCTCTAATCTGACCCCTAAAATCCAAACACCTGCCTTCAGATTTCCCCATGGTCCTTCAGGCAGGACTTAGATCATTTAACTATGATACCACACCCTTTACTCTCTCCTAACAAAAAACAAACAAGCAAACAAACAAAAAGCATGTGTCTAATCTAATGTTTTGAGATGAGAAAAGAGATGCAGGAAGAAGAGAATAAAGTGGGAATGGAAGGATGTTTGGTTTCTAAAAACCAAAATTTTCAGTTTTATAACTTGTTGTTGTTTTTTTTTATTTTGTCTTAGTACCAGATACTCACCAAGACATAAAACCAAAAATGTAGAAACCCCAGTAGCTCACCTGGTTTTACTTCTGCTTCCTCTTTTTTTTCCTCATCCTCGTCATCCCAATTATCCTAAAAAAAAGAACCTCCATTATTAACTCTTGCATTTTTACTTTTCCATGTGAACTTTATTTATCAACTTGTCTAACTCCATGGAAACACGCTTATTGGTATTTTTTTGGTACTGCATTAAATTTATAAATTAATATTGGAGAACTGTCATGTTGTTTTTGCTAAGCAAAAGGACTATCTTTCCATTTGTTCAAGTTTACCTCTGTATCTTTCAAGGATTGATTTAAAGTTTATCTTTTAGAGGTTTTGCACATTTCTGTCTTTTTAAAAAAAAAATATATATATATATATTATTGATTTTTTACAGAGAGGAAGGGAGAGAAATAGAGCTAGAAATGTTGATGAGAAACATCAACCAGCTGCCTCCTGCACAACCCCCACGGGGGATGAGCCCGCAACCAAGGTACATGCCCTTGACCTGAATCGAACCTGGGACCTTTCAGTCCGCAGGCCGATGCTCTACCACTGAGCCAATCCGGCCTCGGCACATTTCTCTTTATGTTTATTCCCAAGCATTTCATCTTCCATGTTGCTACTATAAATAGGGTTGTGTGTTTTTTCCCTTTTATGTCCTGGTTATTTGTGTATAGAAAAGCTATTAGTTTTTAGTTTTGGTTTTTATTTTAGTGAGAAAGGGAGAGAAGAACACCGATTTTGTTGTTCTACTTGTTTATACATCTATTGGCTGTTTATTTTGTATATGCTTTGACTGGAGGTTGAATATGCAACCTTGCCGTGTGGGGACAAATGCTCTAAACTGAGCTACCTGCCTAGGGTAGGGTTGTGTTTTTTTTTGTTTTTTTTTTGTGTGTGTGTGTGTTTAGCTTTTTAATGGAATTTATTGAGGTGACATATAGCTTACCATACTGATTTCATTTACCACTTAAATTAGTTTTATCATTGATTCTCTAGGGTTCTCAAAGTATACTATCATATCATCTGCAACAAGAGAAATCTTTAATTCTTCTTTACCAATTCTATGCCTCCACATTGATTTATTTTATCTAATTGCAACTGGCTACATCACTAGAGCACAATGTGAATAGCAGGAGATAATGGGCATCATTGCCTTGATCTTCTCTAAGGGAAATGTCTCTAGTGTTTCCACATGAATTGCTATGAACCTCATCACAATTATGCAATAAAATTTATCAATCTTTTATTGCCTCTTGATTTTCTTACAGCAAGGAATTTTCTTCTAGAACATGTATGATTTTTTTTCATTTAGATATCTGATCCATTTGGAGTTTCTTTTGTATGGTGTGAAATATGGACCTATTTTATCTTTTTCCAAATGGTCACCTAGTTGTAATAGCATCATTTATTAAAAAAATCCATCTTTACCCTGCCATTTACCATACACTATATTTCCACAGGCATCTGGTCTATATCTGCTTTCTATACTATTAATCTATTGTTTCTTCATACATCAGTACCAGACTGCTTTAATTAATTACATAGACTTTATAGTATGTTCTTATGTAAGCTAGGGCTAGTTTCCTCTTGTAGATTTTTAAGTGTTTTCTTGTTATTCTTACATGTTTGTTTTTCCATATTAACTTTTATACCAACTTGTCTAATTCCATAAAAAAGCTTCTCCATTAACAAGTAAAACACAAGCCCTGGTCAAGTAGCTCAGTTGGTTAGAGCATCATCCCAATATGTCAAGGTTTCGAGTTTAATCTCAGATCAGAGCACATACAAGAATCAACCAATGAATGCATAAATAAGTGGAACAAATCAGTATTTCTCTTCTCTCCTTCTCTCGTTCCCCCTCTCCTCCCCCCCCCCCTCAAATCAATAAATAAAAGTAAAAACTATCACACAGGACAACCAAACCAAAACTAAAACCCTCTCAAATTCATAGTTGTTTTAAAATTAAAAAGTACTTTACCCTTCTTACTTTCCCATATGTAAAAACATCCAACATTCTAACCATTGGCTCAATTATTTCAAACAATATTCCATACAGCACAACCCTGGTTAATGAATTAAATACAGTACAAGGTTGGGCAAAACTAGGTTCATAGTGCTTGTATGGAAAATAATATAATAATTAATGTAAGAATAAACTCTTTTGCATACTCAGTATTTAAGATCAGTCAAGAACTGATAAACAGCTTCATGAAACACATTCCCTAACTTGGGTGGGACACTTTAAGGTAGATATATACTCTGTCTTTTTTACTTATAACACAGTAATTGAGCTAAAAATAAACCAATTATCAAACAATTTTCTAAAGGCTCCACAGAATTCAGAAGATTTAAGTTTAATAAGAACAGACACAGCTCTGTGTTTAAATAGGGTTTTAATGTATAGGTAGCCTGGATATTGTCTAAGCAACAACCAGGCACACTTTGACACACAATTTGAATCTGAGCCATAGGATGGCAGATGCAGAGCAGGCAGTCCTGATGCTACTAGAAGATGCAAAGGCTGACTAATGTGCTTTAAATATGACACCAAGCTTCTGGTTTTATAACAAAATAGATCATAAAATCTGAATCAGTCTAGATATATAAACTAACCAAGCTTTGATTCTTTCTCTTTTTTTAATTTTTTTTTTTATTGGTTTTTAGACAGAGAGGAAGGGAGATGGAGAGAGGAACATTGATGTGAGAGCAAAACACCGATAGGCCACCTCCCACATCCTTCCCCGCCCTCCCCCTTCCCCACCCCATGCCCAACTGGAGATCTAGCCCACAATCCAGGCAAGTGCTCTGACCAGGAACTGACCTGGCAACCCTTCAGTTCTCGAACTGAGCCACACTAGCCAGGGCAAGCCTTGATTCTTTTTTATTTTATTAAATATATTTTAATTGATTTCAGTGGTGAAGGGAGATAGAAACATCAATGATAAGAATCATTGACTGGCCGAAACCGGTTTGGCTCAATGGATAGAGCATCGGCTTGGGGACTGAAGGGACCCGGGTTCGATTCCGGTCAAGGGCATGTACCTTGGTTGTGGGTCAAGGGCATGTACCTTGGTTGTGGGCATATCCCCAGTAGGGGGTGTGCAAGAGGCAGCTGATCGATGACTCTCTCTCATCGATGTTTCTAACTCTCTATTTCCCTTCCTCTCTGTACAAAATCAATAAAATATATTAAAAAAAAAAAAGAAAAAAAAAAAAAAGAATCATTGACTGGATGTCTCCTGCACACCCCACTGGGGACTGAGCCAACAACCCGGGCATCTGTCCTGACCGGAAATTGAATTTCCTGGTCTATAGGTTGACTGTCAACCACTCAGCTATGGCAACCAAGCAAGACTTCTTTTTTTCTTTTCACAAACCTTGATTCTTAATAAAAATCTGTACACTCACCAAAGAAACAAAAAGTCAAAATTAAGGCTGCCATGAGGTCTGCAAGCACAGTAGAAAGAACTTATATAGAAGTAAAAATATTTATATAATCACCTTACTTTGGCATTACCCATAGCTCAGAGTTCACAGAATGAAAGCAAACCAAGAGCAGACTGCGGGTTGAGGTGATTGGGTGAAAGAGGTGAAGGGATTAAGAAGTACAAATTGGGCCCAGCTGGAATGGCTAAGTGTTTGGGTATCAACCTATGAACCAGGTCATGGCACATGAACAGGTTGCTAGCTTGATCCCCAGTGTGGGAGGCAGCTGATGAATGATTCTTTATCATCACTGATATTTCTGTCTCTCTCACCTCTTCTGAAATTAATAAAAAAACATATGGGGGGAGGGGAAAAAGTACAAATTGGTAATTAGAAAATAGTCACAGGGATGTAAGTACAGCATAGGCAAATATAGTCAAGAATATTTTGAGCCGAAACCAGTTTGGCTCAGTGGATAGAGCATCAGCCTGAGGACTGAAGAGTCCCAGGTTCGATTCTGGTCAAAGGCATGTACCTTGGTTGTGGGAACATCCCCAGTGGGGCGGTGTGCAGGAGGCAGCTGATCGATGTTTCTCTCTCATTGATGTTTCTAACTATCTCTCTCCCTTCCACTCTGTAAAAAAATCAATAAAATTTATTAAAAAAATATTTTGATAACTATGTATGGTACTAGGGAGTACTGGAAATACTGGGGAGAACACTTTGCAAAATATGTCTAATCACTATGTTGTACACCTGAAACCAATACAAAGTAATATTAAAAGCAAGCTGTAACTGAAAAGTAAAATATTAAACCTGTGTTATTGGTTAAAAAAGAAAACCAGCTAGTCATTGTTGGGACATCTGAGATAATAGAGTTAGAAATTAGAAAGCAAATGTTTGCATTACCTTTCTGGTTTTATTTAAGTCCTTATAGCAATACACCACAAGACGAAAGGAATCAGAGAACTAAAAATAAAAGTTAACTACCAGACATTTTGTTGTTTTAATCTTCACAGGATTCAGGAGAGCTGGGTCTGTGAGTGGCATGCTGCTTAGGCAGTGCTTCAAATAGGACGACTATTTGCTTATTTCCAGGAAATGCATATTCACAACTCTAATAGTGATAATGATGATAGTGGTGGTAGTAGTAGTAGTAGTAGTAGTAGTAGTAGTAGTAGTAGTAGTAGTAATAATAATGGCATTTACTAAGTGCTTACTTCACACCAGGCACTGTATAAAGGGCTTTATATGTAACACAGTAACCCTCACAGAAGTCTTTTAAGATGGTGTTATCCCCATTTTACAAAGACACTAAGACCCAGAAATAGCTCTCAGTGAAAAATAATGAAGAAACATTTTCTGAATGGACCAAAGTTCCTTTAAAGTGTCATGGTAAACATGACTTCTAACCAGAGTCATGAAGTATAATATAACTATCTGGGAATAGGTCCCTCTCCACCAAAATTTGTTCTTTCAGTTAGCTCTGAATGAGCTCTCCTGGAATCTCCTCAAAGAGAAAGGTATAGTTCCTACGAAGAAAATATGTCCAGCTACAACTACAGACGTTACCCATAGTGATGATTTTATACTAATTTTAATAACCTAGCATCTAAGGTACTAAAAGGCTAAGAAGGAAGAGGTATGGCTAAAAATGA